TATAGCCTTAGAGAACATCTTATAATTACACACACACGCGCTTAAAAACAATACATCACTTACTATTCTATCATAGATAAAGAGTAAAATAAATTGAAAAGTGAAACTCAAGGTGTAGTCAGGTTGAATATGCAGCTGAACAAACACCAACACCATGAGGAACCTGTAATTGTAATGTATCAACAAATTTAGGGAACAAAAAATATACCTTTTTAATTTAAGGAAATACATTACTTTTTGTGCCTATATTTTTACATATCTGAAGGGTATGAATGTTCACCTAGAAGACACCCCGCGTGCGTTGTAGCAGGAATGTAAAATAGATATGTTATAAGGACATGACTAAGAGTATGAAACCATGTGACATTTGAAAATTATTATTAAAAAACGAAATAACGATGGAAGTAGCAATAACAAACTCTTCAAGAGATAGTTTGTTACGTAATTGCATTGAGTGAACATGTTGGTGGTTCTGTCATCTTGATACGGCGCAAATAGTTAATATAAACTTCAATTTATGAAAGGAAAATCATACATATAATTATGTGAACGAATGCAAATATGAAATTTTCTACTTATTTGATTTTGTTTAAATCTGCAAAAATTCCTTTGAAACTTACCTTCAGTCAGCTAGTTGATTAACATACAACTCATATCCACAATAGTATTTGCAAAACCTTTGATTTTATGATAAATATGAAACACATGCCTAATCTAGCATAGAGCTAGCTTTCCGGGCTAGATGATTTTCAGATTGAATAGTATTGCTGAAATACATGCGTAATTAACCTCTATTAATTCCAGTGTTGGATTGATCTGATGACATTCACAGTGGAATATATAGTACTGTCGGGCAGCAACATACCCGAAAGTGTCCAAAGGAATATGTTTGATTCTACAAAACCATCAAAGCAATGCAAAAAATTACCAGTAAAATTTATACTAAACTATGTATGAGAAACAGACAGATGCGGGATTGTAGTTGCACGTAGTAACTGGTACGTTTTGTTTCACCTGTTTATTCCTTCCAATCAGCACTCATAGAACAAAACAAAGAGCGATGACTACGATCCATCACTTCCAATCAAAGTTGTTTCATCTGATTATTCCTTCCAACAACAAATAAAATAAAATGAGAAGGGAATCAAAGCTTATTGTTTCATGCTTGCCGGCAGTGCCTGAATTAGAGAGGATTGTGGATTAGAAAGACTGACCGGACTTGCTGCACGGATGAGGCGGCTGGAGACAGAACAGACTTGCCTTCATAAAAATTGCTTCCTGCCATGAACAAATCAGACCAAATTAACTCAAGATCGATCAGATTTGGAGAGTTAAAGAGGAAGGAGAGCCCCCACATTTTGGTGCAGGTGATGTTGGAGTAGCATGAGGACGGGTCGACGTGTTGGGGCTCAGACCAGCATGTCCGCGGGGCTAGATTCATCGGCAGTGGATTACATGCTCAAATTAACTACGGTGTTCATAGGGGCCTGAATCGGCAACAGGATGCGGGTACTTAGCGGCGACCCCCCGCGAACGATGGGCTGGCAGGGGCACCGTGCCATGAGCACCACCATCGCTGCTGGTGGATGAGTTGATTTGTTGGGACAATTGGAACCGGACGGAGGAGACCAAGTGAAGGAGGAAATAAAGTGTCGTTTATAGAAAATAATAAAGTGGGAGGATTGTGGTGGTGAAGATAACGCTCCTTCCTTCTAGTGGAGTCTATGGAAATAGATGAGGGCTGGTAACGGAATGTCATGGCTTGGTCCGTTCTACAGCGTACAGAGGGCAAGTCATATAGTTGTCGGTAAAGTGCTGAAAATGAAAAGACAACATCCGCAGGTATCCATGACCATTGGGCTTCAGAGCTAATTCAGTTTGTACGCTCTAATTTAATATAGGAAGGTTACTTGGAGGGGAGGAGTGCTTTCACATGTGAGACCTCCCCGTGGCTTCATTAAATAGGAGGAAAAGCAATCAATCGATTAATTGTTCTTCTTTTTGTCAGCGAGGGAAGGTTGTGCTTACCTCTGTTAATTGAAAAAAACTGATGTGGTCTTGAGTGGGATTGGTATGACGTGGCTAGATGTGATTGGATGATGACGTGGCTATGCTACATGTTGAGATAAATCAAGTAGTGGGGTTGAACTTCTTAAGTATATAGAATATGATGACCTCTTTGATGCATTGTTATGGGTACATTTCGATCGACAGTATGCATGTCGCTTGGTCTAGGAGGGATGCATTAGTGGTCACCCAGCTGTCCGGCCATGGATCAGGCCCGCAGAGATCTTTGAAATGTATATGTAGTAGTCCTAGCTAGTGTTGTTGACGACGCGTCTACTATGAGACAATACGATCAAGGGCGATACCGTGCATAGAACAAACTAGCGTTTTGTACGTATGTACCTCAATGGTGCAAGCAATCATCAAATCGTATATGCTTTCAACTTCAAATAAATAAATAAATCATGTATGCTTCCCTACTAGAAAAAAACACGTATGCTTTATGGTGGCTAAGGTTATTAGTAGCGTTCGCTCCTGCATTTTTACGCCAAGCTATTCACAAATACTTCATCCGTCTCAAAATGTTAACACCTTTTTTGATACTGTGATATATTTTGAGACAGAGAGAGTAGAAGTTTTGGCACTTAATGGGAAAATAAAAATAGAAGCAAGAAGCTACCAAGGCACAGAGAACTTGCGAACTCAGGTATTACAAAGCCTATTATTAACCCGCAAGAAAATTCGTATTGCTTATCAGCCATCCATGCTAAGGCATAAAATTCATGTAAAAAAACTGGCTTCAACTTTTCCCGTCTAAAATTGGCCCCACCTTAAGTGCTCCTCATGTTTTGGGCACAGGATTGCAATCAACTTATAGCTTCAAACAGTTTTCATTTTTTTGGATCAAATAACATCATGTATAGCAATTCATCTGGATCAACACAGGTCACTAAACCGCACCGAATGAAATGAAATCCGGTGTCAGTGACCTGTGTCGGTCATTGCACAGTGGACTGGGTGCAGCTCACTTGGTTAGATTCCTTGTGGTGGGACTAGACCACTGGACACACATGTCCGTAGTTTCCTGAATTTATTTGATTGAAGTGCCTTTTCCTTGTAAGTTGAATCTCAAGCACTTGTTCTGACTGCATTTCTTACTCGTAAATTCTCCAATCTAGTGTGACTTTTCTGTCTGATAGAAAAATACATTCTAATGTGGCAACGGTATATAATACTCGTGAATTATGATCATTAATCAATTTCTTCAACTCAATAAATGCACATTCAAAACGAGATGGCAAGATTCGAAGACCAATCAAAAAATAATCCATTCCACACTCGACTTTGAGTACCCCCACCCACCCACGCACCCTCCCCTCCAAATGTCTTTGTATAAGTGTGGATAAATTGTTCTCCATTTATCACGGTAAGTTAGATTCGCAAAATGTTAAAGCAACTCCAACACAGATAACCAAATCACGTGCAAATGTCCGAACCGGATAATCCAAACAATTTTTGCAATCCAACGGGGGTCACCTAATTTGTCCGGATCGGTCCAGACGTGAAATCGCCCAGACCAACACCAAACTTGAGGGTGAGAGGTTTGGGTAGTCCAGACATCCGCCTGGCCCACTGCCAATTGGACCATGTGTGTCCATAGCCCATGAGCAGTTGATGGCCCACTCTATTTTTTCCACCTAGTCTGCATGGCACACTGTCAATCATAGCCCATTGTCCGAATTTGATGACTATGGTCGGATGACCTTCGCTCAATCCGTTGTCCACGGACATATCCATACGTGTTTGCGGACATTTGATGACCCATATTAGGTGATTTGTGTTGGAATTGCCCCTTACAGTCTTGTAATTGAGCCCCAAAAAAGTGGGTCTGGTGGGGAGAAAAGAGGGAGGTCACGTCGTTCAGCAGTTGTGTGGATGGAGAATACCAAGATGATATGACGAGACCTGCAAGGTTCCACGGCTACCTGACTAGATACGTGTCAGTTCGTAGCACGACGAGGCCCAGTGGGCCATCAGGATGTTATCAGCACATGGCCTGTGGGCTCCCATGGCAAATGTATGATTGGCTCTGTACATTGCACACTTGCACCAACTTTGAAACCGGTCAGAGGTCGACAAAAAACGTACAGGTTTGTTTGCACGATAAACTGTGCGTTGCATTGAACTTTACTGCCTAGTGGCATTACCCATATCCATCTATTTCGGGAGAGCATCCTATGCCAAAGGATATACGTACTATGATCCAGTTATAACCACATACATTCGCAGCACTGTACTATGATAGAAGGTAGGTCACCCAGAGATCCAAGAGCATTGTTTAACCAAGTTCATGCTTAAATATTTGGTTTTCTCAAACAGTTTTGCTAGAACTCATCTAGATGAGATATAATTTGGTCTCATTCATCTTTTATAGCCATTGAATGTGATGCTATAAGATGCTATAAGATGCGTGTGTGCTGACGTGAATGTTATATGTTCTTGTTTTCCAAATGAATGAGACCAAATTATATCTCATCTAGATGAGTTCTAGGTACTCCCTTTCTTAAAAACCAAATCTTGTATGATAGCAAGAGGTTCGGCAATTGCGTGAAACACTCGAGTCGAGATCGAAGAGGAAGACCGATGACTGAATGGACGACAACTTACTCCGGTCTTTATAAATAAAAAATTATAGGTTACAAAGATATATATTAATTAAGCGAGTAGGCGAATGGAGATTTTGCGTCTTCGTTTCGCAATCAATTGCAGTAAAGATAAATATAATTATGAATTTATGACTGCCATTTGAACATCAAATATGAATTTGTACATGCTGCGTGAGGGGGGTTGCTAATTAATAAGAGAACACATGCACTCCTTTGTGAGTTGTGGCAGAATTATAACGTAAGTAGTACTACCACAAGAATCACGTATGGACGCTCAAATTCCTTGCACCATATACATCGTTCACAATGTATGTAAGCATCTCCCGTTTAAGCATAGTGCGGGTAGTGATGGTAGAATTCGCCGCCGGCGACGTCCTCGCGGCGGCCATGTAACGCGGCCGCGGCCTGCTCGAGCGCCTGGACGTGGCTCTTGAGGAACCTGACGTAGCGGACGGCCTCCTCCAGCATGGACGCCGTGTCCAGCCTCGCGCCGCCGGGCACCAGCCGCTGCAGCGCGCGCATCCGCTGGCTCACGCGCTCCCGCCGCAGCCTCGCCGCCACGCTCTGCGGCTCGCTCGAGACGCGCCCGTTGCCGCGCCTGGGCCTCTCCACGTCCGCGGCCGGGTGGACGCCGACGACAAGCCGCCGCGTCGCCGTGTGCTCCGGGTAGGCCGCGGCTGGCGGCGGCACCAACACCGGCATCGTGACCGAATTAGGAGTAACCGCACCGGTGGCACACGATGGATACGGCGGGACTAGGACCGGTGGCTGGTGCGATGGCGATGTGGATGGAGAAGCAAGGTATGTGAGGGCGCTGTCGAGTTGGGAGATGGTGTGCATGAGCTGTTCTTGGTTCGTCATGTCCACTGCCGTGTCCAAGTCCATGCAGAAAGATGGACCTCGGCAGCTTCTGCTAGGGTGTAAGCTATGTACTCCTGCTACTCTAGCTAAGACAAGCTTGACTGGTGGGTGCTGGCGCTTGGTGCTTCACTCGTATGGAGGGGCTGATTAGTTGTTGAGCTGAGGTAGGTGCGGGAGTGCTATTTATGCTACTCTCCTGGTTTAGGCTGATGGGTACACTATAAGTGCCATATATGTGGCACAAACATATGACAACTTCGAACATTTTTTATGGCAAGTTTAGTAACACGAGGATGGCAATTTTAGTTGTCACGCATGACAACTTTTTGTTCAAAGGGCAAGTTTTAGTTTTTTTATTGGTTGTTTTTTCTTTTCAGATGACAACTTTAGCTCTAAACAACGTCAGATCCGGAGTGCTTCGTGACACACGTGTGACACTTATCATTTGGACTTATTAGGTCACCACACAGAGACATGCTAAATCTTAGTGGCTGGTAGTGACCAAAGGCACAAAACTCATAGGTTGTGATAAGTGGTGCACCAGTGTGCCACTTACTGTTCAAGATATCTTCCGATATTCCGATAAATCGGCCGATTTATCACTTACCTTTGTCCGGCCGATAAGATTTATCGGCCGATATGGCGATAAATTGACCGATATGCCGATAAACTGGCCGATTTACCCCTTATCATGGGTCGATCGATAAGTTCCCGATAAGCGATATCCCCAATATTGGTGCCACTTATCACCACCAGAGAAGCTGAAAGTGACATTTGCAAGAGATACCTCTTTATTAGTGATTTCACATTTCGAAGGCCTCAAGCAGAGAAGAACTGTAAATAGAAAGGAGTGATGAAAGCTAGGCTAGACCGTAAATTGGTGTTGACCTCGACGTGAATAATAATAAGTTCGTTTTTCTTACGCAAAACATCTCTATCTCTCCTATCGTGAGATGTTGCCTTCAAAAACTTATTGCGGGACGTCTTCTCCTCTTGCCTTTAGTGATCATTTGAGTGGGCCAGCCCAATAGAAGTTATGCAGGACCAGTACGAGCTGCTTTGGGAAGTTCTATGAACAGCGCGGGGTGGGGGTGAAATGCTCGATTTTGTAAAGGTTTAGTTTGTTTTTGTATTTTTCCTTTTATGTTTTCCCACTAGTTTATCATTATTATTTTTTTGTTTCTTCAGAAAAAATTATATTTTTACTTTTCTTTTCCTTTTCTTCTTATTAATTTATTCTTAAAATACAAGTTAAGTTTTTTAAAACACATGTTGAACACTTTCCTAATACATATAACACACCTTTAAATGTTGAACATTTGTCAAATGCTGATTGAACATGTTTTAAATACATGGTGAATATTTTTTAAACACACATTAAGCATTTTTTAAATATGACATGAACAGAATTTTCAAATGTGCGAACATGTTATAAATGTACTGAATTTTTTTCTGACTAGTACAATCGTTTTGAAAATATTTGTGAACACATTTTTATATTTCATGAACAATTTTAAATTTGATCAACATGTTTTAAACATGCGAGCATTTTTTGAAATGTTTCGGATACTTTTTGTATGGTCTGACCATTTTTAAAAGTTATGTGAACAAATGTTAATATGGCGTGATAAACATTTTATAAAAAGAGTAAGTCACGTTTTAAATTTTAAAAGGTGAAACAACCCTACCTAGCAAACCAGCAAGATCCTATTGGGTTAGTCCACAAAAGACTCCCTAGAGGCGACGCAGCCATCTATGTCGCAATAAGCCAGATACATGGAAGCCCGCAAATGATATCTATCACCTTTTAGGCGATACTTTAATCACGATTAGCCGCTAGCCTTCGAATTGGGGTCAGCCCATTAAAAGGACTCGAGCGAGCGTTTTTAAGATGAGAGCAAGATGTTTTCGGAAAATTGCGGTAGCTTCTCACCCAGTTTGGGGAAGCTTTCGGGACATTTTATTTCTGTGTTTTATCTCGGTTATTTAAAAAAAACTGTTTTTACCTTTCACTTCCTTTGTGGGTTTTTCTTATATATTTTTCCTTTTACCTTTTAAATAGTTTTTTCGGAATTCGCAAAAATATATTAAATCTTGAGTCTTTTGTAATTCGGTGAATAATATATTATTTCCCAGATAATTTTATAAATTTCGAACATTATTGGAATTCATGAACTTTTACTTAATTTATGATTATTTTAAAATTGGTGGATTTCATAAAATTCATCAACTTTTTGTATTCACAAAAAAAAATTCCAATACATCAACAATTTTAAAATTTGTGAGCACTTTTAATTTATTGGACATGTTGGCAATTGCCGATGTATTGTGAATCTTAAACATTTATCAAACTCATGAACTTTTTTCGAATACATGAAGGTTTATAATATTTCCAGTCTTTATTTTGAAATTCTGAGCATTTATCTCAATTTGCGAATATTTTTCAAGTTTCATAAACATTTTTTAATTGGCAAAGCTTAATTTAATTCGTAATCAATTTTTAAAAATGGAATTTATTTGCATTCATGAACATTATTCTTACCTCAGTAATAATTTTTTATTTCACTAAATTTTTCCTAAATTTACGACATTTTTCTAAAAAAATCCTACAACTTTTATTCATTTCAGGAGCATTTTTTAATCTGCAAACATATATTGAATTCACGAACAATTTAATATATTACAAAGAAAAATCGACAAAAATAACATTTAAAAATGATGAACGAGTATTGAAAAAATGTTGAACAAGTATTTGAAAAAAAATCTTGATCGTGTATATAAAATGTAAATTAAGCATTTGAAGAATCTCAAACAACTATTTAAAAAATGCTGAACAAATATTTGAAAAAATGTTAATCATGTATATAAAAATGTAAATCAAGCATTTGAAAAACAATGTTGAACAAATATTTCAAAATTTTCAATCAAGCATTTGAAGAATTTTAACGTGTATAAAAAAAGTTGATCATGTATTAATTTTTTAATGTTTTTATTTGAAAACTGTTATTCAAGCATTTAAAAATGTTGAAAATGTACAACATCTTGTATTCAAAAATGTTAATCGAGCATTATACAAAAAATAGAAATTTATGATATAAAAATGTTTACCTTTTATTCAGAAAAATGTTAAATTTATATTGGATAAGTGTTAAACGTGTATTAGGAAAAAGTTTTTGACATATACAAAAAAATGTAGAATGAAAATGAAGGAAACAAATGGAACCAAAAGATTAAAACCAAAAAAGAAAAATAAAGATAAAAAACCAAAGAAGAAAATGTAAGGAAAATTAAAAAAATCTGAGAAGAAAAAAAATAAAAGAATGGAAAACTGGAGAAAGTAAGAAAAAAAAAACTACTGGTCGGGGTCGCCTCCAGTAGGTCGCGTCCCTACAACTATCAACTAACGACAAGTGGGTGGAGTGGCTACCAGCCTCGGCGATCTCCCTGGCAGACCAGGGATCCACCCCGTGATCTGCTGCCTGTAAAATATACTTTTCCGTTGATCCGCCCAAGTACTGTAAACGCTTCAGCGAGGGTTTTCTACTGTCTCGCTGAATGCAAGATATAGTCACTGCGATACCTAGCAGCTCCTGATAGAATCTGTTTCTGACAGATGGGAGATTTGTACACTCAAATCACTCGTGGTTGGAGGAAAACCCTTGGCAATAGTCGTGAGTTCGCACATGTGTACTCCTGACTGGTCTGTCCCATTTTCGTTTTGGTATTTGTTTCTTTTTTTTTTCCTTTTTTGCTTTCAGTTTATTTTTTCATTTTAAAGAATGTTCAGAGATTTTAATTTTTTGCATTTCTCAAATTTGTTAAAATTTTCAGAAAATGTTTCTGATGTTAAATATTGTTCAGAGATTGAAAAAAAAGTTCAGAGTTTTTTTTTCCTTTTCTTCAAAATATACTCATGTTTTGCAAATAATGTTCGCAAATTTGACAATGTTCACTTTTACAATTTTGTTTGAAGGTTCGAACAATGTTCCCGTTCCCATATAATGTTCACCGATCCGAAAGTGTTCATGTTTTCAAAATTTGTTTGGCGTTTTTAATAGTTTTCATTAATTAAAAAATGTTTGTGTTTTTAGTTTTGTTTGGAATTTTACAAAATGTACCTAGTTTCGAAAATTGTTTTTAGATTTTTAATAAAGTTGTCTACAAGTTTTAATATCCGTGTTTCAAAAGGAAGTTCGATTTTGACATTTAAAAAAAATCGGATCTGCCGCTGATGCTTGTTCTTAACGCTTCACGCTGCTTTTTAGTCAGTAATGGTATCGCCTCTAGTTGTGTGTTTGTTGACTCCGAGATGCATGATATGATTCCTTCAATTTCAAGATCTACCGGCTGAATGTCTTGGTGGTGCTTCCTTCCTTCATTGATTGTAGCTACAGTCACACTATTGGGCACTATTGATCACTGTAGCTCTACGGTCGCCCGTGGCGTTTCTCCAACCTGGTTACGACACGGGGCTAGGTATGTGTGCATGCGTTCTAGAGGTGGGTGTGCATGTGTCTCGTTTCTAAAAGAAAGCGGGCATGTATATTGCTATGAGCGGGATGCAGGAGCCGTCTACACCGAAGATAAAAATATACCCTGAGTGCGGCTATTAACTAAGGTGCAATTTTTTGATTTTTGAAAATTCGCTCAAAATATGTACCTTTTTAACAACATGTTTTATTTCATTAATTTTACACAAAACAAATTGATAAAAAAATCTGATTTGTATGCATGTTGTAAAAAAGTGATCATTTAGCTTTGAAAATAGATTTATTTCACACACACACACACACACACATTAATTATACAGTTCTAAAATTTTATGGTGTATTTTAAAAAAGTGTTCATGTATTCATACCATTTTAAAATATTCGTGCATTTATTCACATATAATGAAAGAATGTGTCCTTGTATTTTTTTTTACAAAATGTTGCTAATTTAAAAATATCCATTTACTTTTTTAACGTATTCACCCATTAAAGAGAGAACTATTCATATAGTTAAAAATGTTTTTGCACATTTAA